ACTAGACTACCGTGCCTCCACTAGACTACTGTCCTACCACTAGACTACCGTGCCTCCACTAGACTACTGTCCTACCACTAGACTACCGTCCTACTACTAGACTACCGTGCCTCCACTAGACTACCGTCCTACCACTAGACTACCGTCCTACTACTAGACTACCATCCTACTACTAGACTACAGTGCCTTACATATACCTTATGCCTCAAAGGTAGTTGATATGAAGCCTTAACTTGCATCCTCGATATCCAGGGGTTAATATCAGAATAGATTTATGAAGATATTTGTTTCCTTTCTGTTCTTGCTGTGAGACTCTTATTCAGTCCGACCTCCTTAAAATAAAAGCAAGGCGATCTTTAGATATTCCTTCCCAAAGTGTTTATTTACATAATAAAATATTTTATTAACAAACAAACTAAATACTTACTATATACAATATACAGTCAAAATTATCAATTCTATCTTGCACTTCATAATTTTTTGTTAACCATTTTCTTATTAATATATAGTAATTAACTTTTACTCATAATTATTCCTTATACAACATAAAACATTCTTTTTATATATTATCGCTTTTATATTTATAATTAAGAGGTGTACTATATAATATAGTTCTTACCTTAAAATAAAAGCAAGGCGATCTTTAGATTTTCATTCCCAAAGTGATTGTTTGGGAGGGATCGAGCTTTTTTATACTCAGCACCATAGTGATGGTCAATTGTCTAACTGCTTGACCAATAAATGCAGAATTTCACATCATGTGATCCTGGTCACCAAGGGTCGGTTCGGTACCATTGTTTTGGTGATAAGCCCGGGATAATAATTAACTGACCATGTCACTATGTTCTTGTTTAACCGTGTTATGTAAGAACAAGTTGAACGTGACTGTTTACATATAAATACATATATCAAAATACAAAGCCCGATAGTTCTGGACACCATGACCTTAGTGTTAGGCTGACTTTACAAGTACTAGTCGGCTTCATTATGTACTTTCCTTAATTCTTGACAATCGTATTCCTAATGAGTGCCTTGTTAATCTTTCAATTAAGCCGAGACCTGGAGTGTCACCTGTTTGAATCCTACGACCATTGGCATTGGATTTTGTTTGATAATTCCATATACTGTATCGATAGCATGTTCGCTAAACTTGATTTACACAATAACTAGATATCTTGATATACACAAGTTCTTCATAATTTTTTTACTACACAGTAATCTCAATAATAATATAAAATCAATCGTAATATTACTCTCACTTTCGCTCTCTACACCCCTCATCCTCGATATCCAGGGTTATGCTCACTTTCGCTCTTTACACCCCTGGAATATGTCAAAGCTATTTGATCGGTGTCGGGTAAAACATTATGACCAATCACTAGACTGATGCTTGTTCTTTGAAGATTAAAGAGGAGCGACACCCTACTTCAAAGCCAGAAAGTTTTACCGTTACGCCACCGCGAGATTCTTTTGATGTACATCGACGGATCAAACTAGTCTTCTCCTCTCGTTAACAAGGTGCTGCACACTGAGCCTTCGATTTCGCTATGACATATTCCAGGGTTGCCGAGAGCAAAAATGAGCGTAACCCCTGGATATCGAGGATGCGTACCAAGAGGTTAACTATATCATTACCAATAGCACTACTCAGAAATATTCGTTTAAATCTTTTACAAAAGAAATATTCCATTAAAATCACATGTTGCCGTGATTTGTTTACAAAATTGTATTTGTTTAAAATTTATTAATATTTGAAAGTAGGGGGAAAAAGAACACAGAAAGAATTGCAAGGTCGAACTTTTACGTTGAAAACTCTACACACTCGAATGTAGCAATATCAGAAATTATTCAAAACACAATATCAACTGGAATGTCCAATTTACGAGCCGCAAAGCTTACAGGCTGTTCGAAAAACTTGACAGAGAAGTAACTCTAAGCCGGAAAATGTCCTTTAGACCGCTGCTTATTCTTTGAAGAAGGGAGACTGCTCCAAATAAAAAAACACTGAGTGGAACTCTTCTTAACGATTGCAACTGACACGATGGTACCCTTAACCTTAACGATTACAACTGACACGGTGGTACCCTTAACCTTAACGATTACAACTGACACGGTGGTACCCTTAACCTTAACGATTACAACTGACACGGTGGTACCCTTAACCATAACTTAACGATTACAACTGACACGGTCGTACCCTTTACCTTAACGATTACAACTGACACAGTTGTACCCTTAACCTTGACGATTGCAACTGACACGGTGGTACCCTTTACCTTAACGATTTCAACTGACACAGTGGTACCCTTCACCTTGACGATTACAACTGACACTGTTGTACCCTTAACCTTAACGATTACGACTGACACGGTGGTACCCTTAACCATAACTTAACTGGACTGTACAAACTAATATACCAAGTTTACATGTCACACAGATAATTACCACTGGACTGTACAAACTAGTATACCAGGTTTACATGTCACACAGATAATTACCAGTGGACTGTACACACTAATATACCAGGTTTACATGTCACACAGTTAATTACCAGTGGACTGGCAAACACTAATATACCAGGTTTACATGTCACACAGATACATGTAATTACCAGTGGACTGTACACACTAATATACCAGGTTTACATGTCACACAGTTAATTACCAGTGGACTGGCAAACACTAATATACCAGGTTTACATGTCACACAGATACATGTAATTACCAGTGGACTGTACAAACTAATATACCAAGTTTACATGTCACACAGATAATTACCACTGGACTGTACAAACTAGTATAACAGGTTTACATGTCACACAGATACATGTAATTACCAGTGGACTGTACACACTAATATACCAGGTTTACATGTCACACAGATAATTACCACTGGACTGTAAACCTGGTATACTAGTTTGTACAGTCCAGATAATTACCACTGGACTGTACAAACTAGTATACCAGGTTTACAGTCCAGTGGTAATTATCTGTGTGACATGTAATAATCGTTAAGGTTAAGGGTACTACCGTGTCAGTTGTAATCGTCAAGTTTAAGGGTACCACTGTGTCAGTGGTAATCGTTAAGGTTAAGGGTGCCACCGTGTCAGTTGTAATCGTTCAGGTTAAGGTTAAGGGTACCACCGTGTCGGTTGTAATCTTCAAGGTTAAGGGTACCCCTGTGTCAGTTGTAATCGTCAAGGAAAAGGGCACCACTGTGTCAGTTGTAATCGTTCAGGTTAAGGTTAAGGGTACCACCGTGTGAGTTGTAATCGTTAAGGTTAAGGGTCCCACAGTGTCAGTTGTAATCGTCAAGTTTAAGGGTACCACTGTGTCAGTTGTACTCGTTAAGGTTAAGGGTACCAATAACCTTTATCCTTAACCTTAACGATTACAAATGACACAGTGGTACCGTTAACCTAAACGATTACAACTGACACGGTCGCACCCTTTACCTTAACGATTACAAATGAAACAGTGGTACCCTTAAACTTGACGATTACAACTGACACGGTGGTCACCTTAACCTTTACGATTACAACTGACACGGTGGTTCCCTTAACCTTAACGATTACAAATGACACAGTGGTACCGTTAACCTAAACGATTACAACTGACACAATGGTACCCTTAACCTTAACGAGTACAACTGACACAATGGTACCCTTAACCTTGACGATTGCAACTGACACGGTGGTACCCTTAACCTTAACGATTACAACTGACACAGTGGTACCGTTAACCTTAACGATTACAACTGACACAATGGTACCCTTAACCTTGACGATTACAACTGACACGGTGGTACCCTTAACCTTAACGATTACAACTGACACAGTGGTACCCTTAACCTT